AGGGAAAATCGCACTGTCCCCGCATGTAAAGGATACATTACACAAGACGATTAACGAGGTGAAAATCGTGAGGAAGCAGTAGTGTATGGTGTCCGAGTCGCACTCCGGGACGGCGTGCGTAATGGAGGATCGTTAGAACCAGGTGGAATCCAAATTTGGCGCAGCTCTGCTTTTTCATCTGACGGAGAACGCACCATTTTCGGGGGAGCAGGGGTAGATGGTGTAGACAACCTGCGCGGTTTCGTGGGAATGGGAGGTGGCGCCGGAGTTGTTGTCCGCAAATGGCCAGGTGTTTGCGTCATCGAGCGCAAGCTGTGGACTGGGGCAGGTGTGTATGGCCGAACCACTGATGCTTGGGTCCTGGGAAGAGACGCGGGCATTTGATTCCTTGGAAGACTCGGGGGAGCAGGCGTATATGTTCGTGAAGGCGAAGGCGTGGCAGGCGTCGTTGGTCGTGAAGACATCGAGGATGTTCTCTGATGCATCGAGTTGAAACGTGAGAGTGGCGACTGGGACGATGCAGAGGTATACGGGGTGGGCGACGTTGACGGCGGCGTCGGTGATGCTGCAGTATGACGTGGGTCTGCGGCTACAGCACCACTACCGAGTGAATCTTTCAACTTGTTCAACTCCACACACACATTCTGATAGTCATGTGCCTTTGCTACATATTGTTGACGCTGTGGAAGAAAGGGATAAGTTAAAAGAGTGATGGACTGAAGTAACAAACCAACTTGTCTGATTAATTTCGACGTGACCGACGGTTAAACTTGTTTCACGTGCGATGCCATGTTGTATAGACATACCTTCTCAATTCTGTTTCTAATTTTTCGTTGTTCAATTGTAGTTCGTCTATTTTGGCTCTGAGATTGGCCTCGACGATTTTTATATTCCTATTGGCTTCGGAATGTGCTTGGTGATTCAATAGAATGGCCCGCAAGAGCGCGGAGCTAAGCAGAAGCGACGTCTGGGGCGTACATGAACAGCGTGAACGGATGAGTTCAAGATCTAGACTGACCTGGGCATAAGCTCCAGACTCAAGCCATTCATCGAGTTCTCTGTAGAGGGCAGCAACCTCCTCTACCGAACATTTTTTTGCGGCGACCCTCGCAACTTTTTCCTCAAGTGACCGAACTTCCGGACGGATACCGGAAGATCTCTCCGTCCTGCGTGCCCACAGAGAGGCAAAGTCCATTTGGCTAGGCTCAACGGAGTATGTAGGCGCGCGCCGCAGTGTATTCCACCTGCTGGATGATTCAAATTCCATGCGTATCATGCGAACTGAGTCATTGGTGAAACTGTCGCGACAGAAAGGACAGACTGGTGAGAGGCGAGAGGGTGTCTTTTCAACTATGGTACTGCAGCAACTCGCGCATAGGACGTGTCCTGTTCACAAGAGATAAAAGAACGCAGAATATGTTTTTTTCACATGGTGATATATATGATTTCTTGACTTACCACAAGGAATGGAATAAGGTTGGCACTGAGGGCCGTACTCTTCAGCGCACACGTCACAAGCAGATCCGGAAGTAAGAGTTAGCATTAGACCAGCCAGTTGAAAGCACCTCTAGGGTGGAGGAAGAAAAAGCAAAGTAAACAGGGCGAAGGGGAAAAAATTCGCTTCAGACGATCATTGGATATATAGCACAATGGCCTTAAGTCCAAATATGGTAATAACCTGTACAAGCGGCTTACAAACAAACCTGGTCCTCCATTCATGCATGCGGTTTTTTGCATCCCGTTATGTACCAGTCTTCGGCCTCTCCAGACTAATCTCGGACCTTCTTTCCTTTCTATGGAGGAAGCATAATAAGCATGCCCGCCACACCGTTCTCTACACGGGCTTTCTAGAACCCAGTTCCTGATTGAGTGTTAAGGGGTCTCGTCAAAACACGAGCTCGGATCGTGTGAGATGTCCCAAATGAGATCCCTTCCACAGACAACCCAGACATCTTTTTGATGCGCTCTCATAGGCAAGTCAAATTTATCGCCGATAGATAGGAATGGAGGCCATACGAGCCCACTTCGGAGAAATGGTGGGCGTCGTTTCGCATCAGCATCAGAGGGCGCAGCACTTCTACCGAAACTACCGAGAATGCACTAGTCGTTTATTTTACCACATCAAGTCGCAGGAGCATGGAACGGTGATGTACAAGCCCGCGGACGTCCCTCAGAGGAATTTCGATATGTCTTCTCTGAATAATCAGCTGTATAGACATGTGCTGACAAGAGCACCACTCCATGAGGTCCGGCATGCTTGTGTCAAATTCATTATGATCACACTGGAGAATCTTCTCAGGTAAAGTAGAGATTTGTGATGTAATCCCTCGCTCCAGGATGTCGAAACGTTGCGCTGGGCGCGTGACTTCGATTGCTTTTTATTCTAGAGGAAGCATCGGCCATACATTTATCATATATCATCTTGTCCTTATCGATAATCATTTCAAGTCTGGCTTTTCCATATATCCAGATGGTGGTCTCGAAATCGTTAATCTTGATCTCAACTTAAGGCAGAGATTGGAAATATACCCTCGATCTCGTGATCAGTTAGATCTTATCGTGTCTCCAGAACCCATTTCATGGCCAATCCACAGAAACACATACATACATTTAGTGAAACTTTCGCAGACAAGGGACCCTGCTGTGAAATGCGGTCATCCTAAATGCGGTCATCCTACCTCCTGGATCCTTGATAATCAGGGTATTCAATTGAGTCGTGTCCAGATGCTATCACCTTTGAAATTCTGCCTTCCTGGCCCTTCTATCGAACCTGTGTGGAAGTTTGGGACTTGCGAGTCGGGAATCGAAGCCAGGCTCACGGTAGTTAACTTTATTGACGGCGGACATCAGCGCATGTTTTGTACACCAGACGTACTTTACGATGATATTCGTGCAGCAAGGCAACACGCAGTATACATGAGGCTTAACGACCTTACCTTTGTCTATGATGAAAGCCTGAGCATGGCGCCACAATGTCTCAATCCTTTTCATTTCAATAACGCGAGAGATTTGATACTCTTGTCTCTGCTCAGGGACGCTTTCCCGTCACGCCAATTGGATACTTAACCTGTCGTTTATATTTTGCAGCATATGTAGAATATCGAATCATCGGATATGAAATCCAAGCGATCGTTATATGACTTCAAGGATCTGTGGCTCAGTAGAAATCTACATCTTTACTCTTTCGGAGATAAAGACGGCTTTCACAGACAAGATTGGCATCAACTGGAAGGGACGCCAGTGGCACGCGGAACAGAGTCACATACATATACGCCGACTCGCAATGGCATGCGGAATTGATGCTAGGAGTTGCAGGAAATCTCTAGTCCGACGGCAAACGCGAAGGGTACTAACGCGAAGTGGCGCGTAATGTGAAACGTTGGAGTTCATCAATCATCACCCAACGTAGCTACACTAGGTTTCGTAATGGCCGAGAGACTATGTAGTCAGTCAACGCTTCTGGACCTTCTAACAAAAAATTGTTAGTGCGCAAGCCTTCGACAGATAGGCCTCAGCCTGCCCTTGAGCGAGCCAGTGATACTCTACCCTGTGGCACTTGATGTGTAAACTTTCAAATTTGAACTCTGAGTACCCCTAAGCCCCGATCAGACCCGCCCTAAGTGTATGTCAGAAAGTATGTGGCATCTAGGGTCAGATGTGTAAAAGCAGGGTTGTATGTATTGAAGGGTCGGAGAGTGATGTGGATCTCACTTCGCGCAATTCAGAGGGAAAGCAATTTACACTCAAGGCGAAAACGTTTCCATTGAGCCTAGCAAGTTGAGTGAGGTGCATGACGGCTCGGAGGACTTGGATAAGAGGAAGCTTGTTCGCATTGAGCTTAACTTTTGAAGAAGAGTGATGTGAGATGATCAAAAGTTGGATGATAACGGGTAAACCTCGGCGTTTACCGATATCCTAGACTATAATAACACGACAATAATACATGTAAGCCCAATAGACAGTAGGAAAGATCAATGATTTCACTGTTTAGACATAACAAAGATGAAATAATTGGGAGAAAAACCTACGCCGTCAAAGAGATCTAGAATTATAAGCGCACGTTGAAATTGTGTGAGGGTAGACTGCTTCGTAACGACCCCTGCTGTTTTGTTCTTTCGGCTCAAGACAAAATTCCCTAAAACCGAAAAGCTTTTGCTGGCGACCATCCGTCCAGGTTTTTGTTATACACTAAAACTGTCCATGACGAGTGGGCTTCCATCCTTGTCCCAACCAAGGACGCGTTGAGTAACAGCATTGCATCAGTGATGATGTAACATAGTTTGACTTGTACGTCCCGAACAAGCGTTTCCTTGGGCATCTACCGAAGGCAGATAGTGAGGAATACAACAGCGCTCTCTACCGGTGATATCAGCCGAGTTGAAAAGTCAATCAACATGACTGAACAATATATATAGAGTCCTCAACGCTGAGGTTTGTTCATCCTGTGCTGACAGTCATCGCCAATTTCAGATCGCAAAAATGCGTTCTCTGTCACTTGTTTTTCACATTGTGATTGGCATGGAATTACTTACAGCCGCAGGTTTAGGCAAGTTGGCAGGAGTTCCACAGGCCTATGGTTTTGGGTCAACTCAATCTACATGTACTGTCATCTCCACTGTGGGATGCGAAAAGCATATGTCCATGAATGGAACCAGCCATTGAAAGGCAACCCTTGTAAAGATACCTGGTTTGAGTTCTTGAGCTTGTGTGGAGTTGGAGCGCGTCAAATGTCGAGAAAATCCGTCGATGTACAGTCTTCTGGCATATTCTTTTCCATAAGTGCAGGGGAGCAGAGGAAGGTCTTAACGGTTTAGGAGCTGTAACCTACAGGTGACTTGGACACGGGGAAGTTTGGAGCCGTCATCATTATACTCTGTACCAAATCAATGGACGCGCATGTTATGCGAAATGTTACCAGATAGATACTAGTCGTCATTTCGGATGCAATAATGGTAGTAAGTACTCAGAAGTCGTAAAAAGTTTAAAACGTTAGGTTCCTCTGGAGCCTGTGAGAATTGAACTCACGACCTCATGCAATACCGTACATTACATACTCGTGCGAAGCATGCGCGCTACCATCTGTGCCAAGACCCCTGGTAAGTATTGCTCCACAGGATAGAACAATGGGAGGGGCCCTATTGAGGCCTCTTGTCAAGGAATTTGGCGAAGTAAACCTAAAACTAGTCGCTCCAGTCTATAGATTTATTGTCATCAGGGAAGTTGAGGTTCCCTCTGATAAAACAAAAAACACTTACAAGAAACTGCGTGGAACTTGCCAGACAGTGAAGGGAACTCGGTCCCACTTCGTCGGGGGATGATTGTCGCGACTAACCGTGATTAACTTCAACTCATTCAACAGAGTTTAACAGCGTATCAGGTAGACGACTTCATTCTATAGGGCCTCTCCCTTCCGTGTCGGGTTTTCCTTAGGCTTTTGAATATCCAGCAAAGATTATAAGGTCACAAACCGGGGCCTCAATGAGTTCCAGATAGACATTTGACCCTACAACGACTTCTTCTGAGCCTTTGTTCCCATGCCCAGTCATTCTCAACTTCCATGTCTCGCGAATCCAATTCCGGTGTTTGACCCAGTTTTCCCACCCGGTACCAATGACCTCGGAGAATTTCAGATGATAAGGTGCATCCTTGAACATTGTCGCACAAGCCAAGTCCATAGTTCCGCGCTGGGCATACAATTGTTCTGCATAGCGAGCACTGAAGTGTGTACGCAAGTAAGGCTGGCGGATATTTCTGTGCACAGCCGGCGTACTGTCATAGGGAAGACCTCCAATACGCAATGTTTGCGGCCACTTCGAAAGGTCTCCAGTCGAAATTCAATGACAAGGCACGCAAAACCAGTCCTCTCTCGGACGGTCAGGATGCGTGAAAGGACTGTCACGGTCAGTGATAAGATCTGCTGGATAATGGACGGCGAGCCTTGCTGGTAAGATTTGGGCATCGGCCCAGTCAAGCACGCCTGTTATTCTTGGACTGTCTAAAGATAATGAAGCCTCATCAAAGAGGACATTGCGAAGGGCAATGTCAGGATGGAAAAGACCAAGGAGCGGCATGATTTCGGTGGTTCAACAAGAGGAATGAGTGAAGAAAGAAACTGGAAAAGCTCGGCATACATGTGAGGCCCTACCGAACCAAGTTACGACATTCGTCTCGAGGTTTCCCCACTCCGTGAGTGCTTCCATCAATTCTTCTCTCAATTGAAACCTCCGTAGGTCTTGTGTGGATTTAAAGAGGCCGCCCAAAGTCTCCTGTGACATTGTCATCAATGGACCTAGTACGCAATTCCCATCCACGTCAATTGCGAAGCTCCCTATTTGATTAAATGGAACAGGTTTGGAGAGCGAAGCCCGCAGTTTCGTCAGCGATCTAGTCAAGGCAAAATCCCGCGTTAAAGAAGCTTCGTCCAGGTCGTCAGACGTTCCGTTTGCTAGTTTTGTTGTGACACCGGGAACGACCTCCATGAGAACATATGGAGCACGCGCGGCATTTGTAAAGGTAAAATCGCAAACACCTTCGGTACAGGAACATTGAGATAGTCCCGATTCACGCACAAATTTCATG